TTGCTACATCAAAACAATTCTAAGATCAAGCAAACAATTCCATGCCAACGTTCACTCTCTGGGGGTATCATAGAGACATAGACTGATTTGGCATCATGCTACACAAGTACACATGCACACTTGGCCACTTGACCACGAGGACGAGATCCAGTGACACACACAAAAAAGATTACACACTTGGCCACGTTTGAGATTATAAGTATCATATATGGACTGGACTACGCGTCGGGAGACGCGAACAAATTACTAGGTAGTACTATATCTATCAGCAGTCAACCGATCGACCGTGGTTCCAAATCTGAGATCCCTGATACAACATCTCATAAGACACACCGCTAAATGCATGCTCCCGTTGTTTATTTACGCTAATCAATTTGGTAGTACAAACACGGGAGCATCATGCATGTTAGTTTGGCCTACGTCAGGGTCGCTCTACAACCAAGTAGCTGGTAAGTAATACTCCCTATAGTTGTAATTATAACATCTCACATTATAGGACAAAGGAAGTAGCTGCCTCACTCCACTCCATGAGCTTAGCTGGGAGTCCACAACGCAAGAAAACTCCCTCCAAGTGGCCACAAAAAGCCTTCAACGACTGGTGATCATTATCGTCGTCACATTTCATGATGACACATAGTTTCAGACTTTCAATCGCTCGCGCCAGCCACCTTTGCTTCTCACGAACAAAACCTGCCCAGTATTTTCATGAGCGTGCAAGCATCACATGCATGCCATTACAGACCAGAAGTGGTGCTACCTAAATTTTTGTCTTGCAAAATATTTAAAAGACCTACGCGCAAATTACTAGGCCTTTGTGTCTGAAGTCTGAACCCTAGGCCAAGGGTCACTTTGTGTGGTACCGTAGACTAATTTGGCATCCACGAGGATGAGATCTAGTCACAGAGACAAAAAATTATACACTTGGCCACGTTTATTATGGACTATACGTTGGGAGGTTCAATAGATTACACAACTCTCAGCAGCCGACCGACCGTGGTGGCGTGGTTCCAGATCCAATGTGGAGAAAACGGTATTGGATACTCCCCGTTGTCTTTTTACGCTAATCAAACGGGAGGATCAGGTCGGCCGACGTGAGGAGCATCCATTAGGCCAACTTCAGGATCGCTCTTCACAACGATAGCTAGAACTGAAGCTCCATTGATACATGGAGCTGCTGACCGATGCCCCAGCGCACCACGTCGTGCCGGACAAGTACGTCTTCCCGCCGGGGAAGCGCCTTGACCTGTTCCCCGATGACGACAGCCCCAGTGTTGCCTTCCCCGTCATCGACATCCACCCCGACACCCTATCTGATGAACGCCGCCGCTGCTCGGTTGCGGCGGAGATCATCCAGGCCGGCAAGGAGTTCGGCTTCTTACAGGTAAGGAGCTCAGTTTCTTATATGTACATATGGATATAGTAAGGTTTTGGGTACCGAGCTAAAAAAATTGGTTACCAGGTGGTTACCGCAAATCCCAGTACCCCACGGAGAAATCCTGAATTTTATCTGAATTTTCCAATTTGAATGAATTTTTATCTGGGATTCAAAATTCATTCAAAAAAACGTTTGTTGATCGTTCGGTATTTCCCCATGAGATGTTATTTCATTTGGGATCCAAAACCTTAACATATACCCTTCCATGAGCGACCACCAGCTCACTCGATCGATCTTATATATATATACATAGGTGGTGAACCACGGCGTTGGGGAGGATGTGGTGCAAGGGTTCCGTGCCGCGGCCGCGGGGCTCTTCGCGCTGCCGGCGGAGGAGAAGCTTCCCTACTGCTCCTACGACATGAGCAAGCACTTCAGGCTTGCCACCAGCACGGCCTTCCACCGCAACCAGACCTGCTACTGGCGGGACTACTTCAGGATCCGCTGCTACCCCGTCACTGACGAAGTCACACGCCACTGGCCGTCCAAGCCGCCGACGTTCGGGACCTCCCTCGCAGAGTACTCTACGGCGGTGCACGAGCTCTCCCAGACGCTGCTCCGACTCATTGCACAGGGGCTTGGCCTCGACGATGGCTTCTTTGCCGGCGACCTCAGCAGCGGAGTGACCCAGATGAATGTGAACTACTACCCTCCATGCCCGGACCCCTCTGTCACGCTCGGGCTCTTCCCGCACTGTGACCGCCACCTCCTCACTGTGCTGTCCCAGGGCGACGTCGCTGGGCTCCAAGCGAGGCACCGCGAGAGGTGGCTCCTTGTGCCCGCGGTGCCCGGCGCACTCGTCATCAACTTCGGCCACCAGATGGAGATCGTCACCAATGGGCTGCTGGCCAGCGTCGAGCACCGTGTGGTCACCAATGCCACGGCAGCGAGGCTGTCGGTGGCGACACTCGTCACGCCCAAGATGGAGTGCCGCATCGGTCCGGCGCCGGAGATGGTGGACAAGATGACAAATCCAGCCAAGTACAGGGAGTTCATGTTCAGCGAGTTCATGGAGACATATGCTGCCGCTGACGCCAGCAGGGAGAGAGTCCTAGAGTCCTTCAAGATCCACCACTAGCTCTATTTCTATGGATTTGGATTGTCTATCGCCCTCTGGGCTGCGGTTTCCTCTCCTTCGGTTTTGATCGGTTAGGTTCTGCCTTTGCTAAGATCTGCAAATGCAATCGCTCACCAGATTTGTAAGCCCGACTAAGATGCGCCCCATATGTTTTCTCCGTGTCATGGTATGCAATAGTGCCAATTCTTTTAGTTTCCGCCAAAGTGCCAGAGTACTTACTGTACCAAGAACTGAATGCCGCTACAATTTATCGGATAGTAGTTATCTTACAGCAAAAGAAATTCGTTCTGCGCCGCTACCTTGATGAAGGCATCGTTCTGTAACTACTGTCGACCCACTCATGCTGCTCCGGGGAAAACCCTATGATCCGGTTTTCCAGATTGGACGATGGCGGCATTGCGGTGTCGTTTCTCTGGTGGGAGCATCGTTTGTGGAGCAGTACTGGAAGTCAGAGGTAGGAGGTGGAGCGGCTAAGTCTTGCACGGAGCTTCGGTGGAGATGTCAAGTCATGCCTGGCCGACAGGTGCTATGCTTTGTCATGCCTGGTCGGTAGGTGCTATGCACGACAGATCTTCCAGAGACTTCAAGCTGTGTCAGCTGGTGGTACTTGGCAGCATGGTGCTGAGGTGTACCGGCGGCGACCGTGACGTGCTAAGCAGTTCGTGCGCAGGGAGGTGGTGACGTTAGCCGGCGTGGTGGTGTCGACGACAGCTAGACCGGGCAAGGATGATGCGTCAGTACAGCTCTGACGATGGAGTGGTGGCAGTTGGCGGCGGCAGCCTCTGAGAGCGCGCCGGACCGGTGTGTGCCCCATACCCGGCAAGTCGCTTGGTTGGGGCCTCATGTCTTAGATGTTAGGCTTGACTGCGAGGTCTGTGGTATTAGGCCCGGACTACCAACATCCCTTCATTAACTGGATAGGAGTAGCGACAGATGTTGCCTAGACGGCGGCTTCAAACTTACTGTTGTATTTCTTTGTACTGTCTTTTATGAATAATTAATAAAGTGGCTACATGCATCGTCCAGATGCAGAGGCCGGGGTTTTTCTTTTTTTCTAAAAAAAATAAAATGTTAATTTTTAAATCATATCTTTGGATTTTGATTATCACCCCAAAAGGCATCAGCAGCTGTAGTGACCTTGCCTAAGGCAAACAATGTGCGGGCTAAGTATATAAATTCACTTTTCTGTTTATAAGAACGGTGCTCATTGTGATGTAAACCTGAGAAAACACAACTCACCTCAAGTGTGCATAGTTGACCGGACACGTCCATTGAAACACCCACTTCGTCACTCGCAAAATGACAGAAAATTACAGAATGTTGTACAGAAAGAGAAGGCAGTCACAACTCACAACTGGAATAATAGAAAATACAGTTCATAAGACAGATGTCAGTGTGATAGAGGCTATAAATATAAGGTACCTGTAAAGTGTTCTTGTGAGTCTAGAGTAGTGTGCCAAGCAGGGCTTTTACATTCATGAGTTGATCCGTGGCTAGTTTTGATACTGCTAGATAACATAAAGTAGGGTATGAAACGAAAATACAAAGGTGAACATAAAGTAGTAAATTCATAAAAAATACTAGAAAAAATAAAAAAAATCTGAGATTTTTGCGGTATGAACCTTAGTCGATTATTCTACTCACGTGTGAAGTATCATCATGTATTGACACCCATGATATTCTTAGTGAAGAAAATACAAATGCGGCCATACTATTCATTAAACAGTGTTTTTAATATAGCTTCGATTAGCTTTGATTTTGTCATTTTTGCCCAGATTACCACGGATGTGATTTCTTCATGAAACTTCATATGCGAGTACACCAGTTGACTATGTATATTAAAAAAATAAATTCCGAAATTTTTGATTTTTTCTATCATTTTTATGAATTTACTATTCATAAAGGGTGCGCACGGACCCATGTTCATCAAATCCGCGTCCGGTATGAAGATATTAGATACTATTTTGAGGCGCAGGGCATATGAAATGTGAGATTGCATACCTGGACAATTGTCCGGCAGGTGTGTGCAGTTGGAAGTTACCATCCAACACAGGCATTAGAAAATAGCTGCGGTGATCTGAAACTCTGAACACAACCACCCAGTCTCAGGATGGAAGGATCATGTGTTTCCTATGGCACACAACTAGAGTATCTTTCATTGTGCTGAAGTACATAAGTTGTATTAACAAAAAAAAGGATTCATATATCAGAGGTGGTGACATTACCTTGTGTGGAGAATGACAAATCACAAATCTGCGTTTCTCACACTTCACGATAAAGCGTATATGGTCCTGAGTGAAGAGAAAGAACACAAGTACATATTACTTCAGTGGCAGCACCAGGAGGACCAAGGATAAATTAATGGAGCAATCGAACATACATAGATAAACTTCAGTATACAGATAAGAGTACTATATATAACTACCTTGCTGTTGACATGCCATTGATAAATTTAGGACCGTATTGTACACTCATCCATCTTTCTAAACTTTTCTATATTTGACCAAGTTTACAGGAAATGAGGCTAATATCCATAGCATCAAATATATATGTGAATTGATTGAGTACTTAAATGTGTGAAGAGGCTAGACTAATAGAGGTGAGGTCAATAACTAAAGTTTGCGGTCACAAATAAAACCCTGAATTGCATGTTAAATAACCATAAACTAACTACTTCCTCCAATCCATATTAAGCCTGCGTTAATTAATTTGGATCAGAGGGAGTAATATCATTTTCTTATGTTAGAAAATAGATCGATGCTTGTATATACACCTCAAAACAGAGAAACCTCGGCAGTGCACGTAAAGTGCTCCTTGGTAATACACCGCATAGCGCTGGCGTGGCCCTATCTCGGATGGCTCATCTCGATCCATGAGCATGTCTCTAATTGTTCCCGGTGGCTCTCCCTTGTGGACGAAATCCCTCTCCTCCCACTGACCAGTCCTTGATGAAAACATGTTCAACGTCCATGGAGTCGGTGGCCATTCCGGTTCCATCAAGCCTCGCGTATCATTATCCTCGTTCCCAAATGGCGGGTCTAGTGACGGTGGCGTCTCATTGCTGCCTTTTCCTTTGGCTGTGTTTGCTGGCTTGTCAGGTATGGCAGGGATCACCAACAGCTCATAGTGTGGCGAAATGGCAGGATCAAACGCAAGGTACATGCCACAACAAACATCATGTCGGGGAGCTCCTAATAAGGATCTGAACAGGGCCGCCCATGAAGTCTGTGGCCATTCCAATTCCATCAAGTGGCGCATGTCATCATCCTCGTCCATAGATGACAGGTCTAAGTCTCACGACGATGGCTTCTCATTGCTGCTTTTTCCTATGCCTCTGTTTGCTGGCTTTTCAGGCACGACAGGATCAAATGCAACCGGGACCTTCCGGGGCCATGGTACAATCGTCCACCGCCGTGTCGCGGGGTTGCACACGCAGGGCCCCATGTCACAGAGGAGGAGGCCGTTGCTGTGGTCGAGGACCGACCACCAAAAGCGCCTGTAGTTGTCGCTGGGCAGGAAGTCAAACATGGCGTCGATCATGGAGTTGGAGGAGGGGCGGGCGAAGAGGTGTGGCCGGCCACCACGCTTTGTCGAGGACGCACGGCCGGGCTGCGGCGAGGGTGGCGCTCCACGCAGGCAAGCTGCGGAGGACGTGCGCGGCTTTCGTCGTCAACATGGCCACGAGTGAATGCGTGGAGGCGATGTCGCGTTAGGTTAGGTTTCT